CCCCGCGTGTACTTTCAGAGCCCTCCGGGGGCCGCGGGTGAGGGCTCGGGCGACGCGGACGACGAGGGCCCAGTGAGACGCCAAGGGAAGGTCACCGTCAAGTACGACCGCAAGGAGCTGCGGAAGCGTCTCAACCTGGAGGAGTGGATCCTAGAACAACTCACGCGCCTCTACGACTGCCAGGTATGTTACCCACCCCGCGCGACACCCTGAAGTCGGTCCTGAGCCAGCCTGTCATCTGAGTCGGGGCGCCCCGCTTCGGCGCGCACCGCTCTCCGAACCAACCCTCGCCGCGTGTGTGCTCTTTATCTTCACTTAAGTCTCAGACCCAGCCTCCCTCGTGCCACTCCCCAGGTCTAGCAAGCTGTCCTCCAAGAAGCTTTGAGCGATAGCCTGGCCTTGGACAGGGGGCAGAGATAGCCGGGGTGGCCGTGGAAGGAGGTGTAACTTAGGTACCTGGAGCCAGCTTTAGATCCCGGTTAAAAGGCGCTGGTGGGGGTACTGTGGAGGGTCTCGATTGTTTAAATGGGCTAGCCTGGAGCTCCATCTTGTGTGGGCAGGTTAGCCAGCTCTCTGGGCTCTGGTTCCCCACTCCATGACTCCCTGTTTGCTTAGAGGGTGACTCAGGCCCCAGGGGGCAGGGTGGAGGAGTGGGCTTGCCCGGTGCTGCCTACCCTACTCTTAGCCTGGAGGTGCAACGCAGCTGGCTCCGGGGTAGCAGCTTCCTGGGGAGGAGGGGTGGTGGGCGTCCCCCAAAGCATAGGCTCTTTGTTTCCCCTTTACCAGGCATGGGTCCTTCCCCTGACCCCTCACCCTTCAGTTCCTCCTCAGTCCCAGGAAGCTGTGACAGGTGTTTGGGGGAGGGGAGGAGAGGGGGGCTGTGATGAACTGGGACAGCTGGCCCTACCAGTGTTCTTAGTGAGATGGGGGCCCGGATGCTGGCGAGACACATCTGCTGGGTTCCCAGTCCAAGGTCCCTGGCCTTGGCTGTCTGGTACCCTGGACCCCGGGTGCCCACTGGTAGGGACAGGAAGCCCCATCCATCAGGCAGTTTAGCTTGGCACAGGCACCATCTCTTTTCCTTCTCAGAGCAGCTGCCATCATCTGCTGGCTGGTCTGGTCTTGAAACAGGCAGCGACCAAAACCTGCCAGCCCTTCACACCTCTCCCAACTCAAATCCTCTCTCCCTCCTCTCCTCCCCCATCCCAGGAAGAGGAGATCCCAGAGCTGGAGATTGATGTGGATGAGCTCCTGGACATGGAAAGTGATGATACCCGGGCTGCCAGGGTCAAAGTAAGAAAAAAGCTAGCGGGCAAGGGCAGTGGGTGGCGTGCTGCCAGGAGGCACTGTCCCTTGGGGAAGCAAGACCCTGAAACCAGTCTGCCTTTGGTCTGGATCTGCCCGTTCTGGGACCTCGGGCCTCAACTTCTGCCTCTGAAAACTAGGACTGATGATCCTTGCCTAGCAAGGACCCCCCTATGACCCCAGTCCCTTGGAAGTGGTGTAGATGAGTTCTAGGCCTGCATCCCTGAGAGCTCACTATATACTTATCCCCTCACCCTCACTCCAGGAGCTGCTGGTTGACTGTTACAAACCCACAGAGGTAAGTGGTTTCCCCAGAAGGTGGGGTGAGGGGAGCTTGGGGGCCAATCTCCCTAATCCCCCCTTCCTATCTAGGCCTTCATCTCTGGCCTGCTAGACAAGATCCGGGGCATGCAGAAGCTGAGCACACCCCAGAAGAAGTGAGGATCCCTGGCCCAGGTGAACAGTGGCTCCCACAGGACAATCGCTGCCCCTTGACCTCGTAGCAACAGCAATAACGGGGAACCCTGCAGCCAGGCCTGGTGCCATGAACAGGGCTCCCCGTACCCCTGGCCTAGGGGTCTTTTCCCTTGCCCACTCAGTTTTCCATTTTTGGGGTTTTTTATTGTTATTAAACTGATGGGACTTTTTGTGTTTTTATATTGATTCTGCGGCGTGGGCCCTTAAATAAAGCTAGGATAAGCCTTTGGAGCAGCTAATCACAGGCTCGGCTGGTCTTTTAGGGTCTTTTAGGCTGCTCTACAACTGCTGCCAGCTCAGCTTCTCCCCAGGTGACTGCAGGCCTTCAAGGGCCATGTATCCATGGCGATAGCCCAAAGCTGGCTCCCAGACAGGCAGCTGGGGAGAAGTGTTGCAGGCAGGCCTTAGTACTTTTTATTCTCTCTGGATAAAGGTCGCTGTGCCAGTGAGCCCAGACTCTGAGGCTCTGTAGTCAGAGGGCAGCTGTGGTTTTTCAGGGGTTGGGTGGATGCTGGGGATCAGATCCGAGGCCTTGTACATGCAAAGCAAGCACTCTAGCCAGAGTTATACCCCCACCACTGAAGCTGTGGTCTTAACCTAAGTCTCTCAGGGCCCGCAAAGAAACACATGCTCACTCCTTGGGCTTTTAAGGTTTTTTTGTTTGTTTGTTTTCTTTTTTAAACAATGTGGTCCCTCATGGGGCCCCTGCCCCTCTGAAGCTGGCTACAGTTCTGACCGGCGCTCAATCTTGAGCAGCTCCACTTCGAACACTAGGGTCGCACCACCTGGAGGGAGAGGTGGAGTCAGACTGGAACCTGGGCTCCAATGAGGTGTGGGGATGCAAGAAGGGGTATTACCTGGGATTTTGGGGGGAGCTCCCCGCTCTCCATATCCTGTGAAACATGCACAAAGAAACAAAGTGAAGCCAAGTGTGGTGGTACATGCCCATAACCCCAGAATTCAGAAGGCTGAGGCAAGAAGACTGGCTCCAAGTCTGAAGCCAGCCTGGACTGCATAGTGAGTTCAAGGCCAGCCTGAACTACAGAGTGAGACCTCAAAAAAAAAAAAAGAGAGAGAGAAACAAAGTAAGCTATGGCTAGGACACCTTTTAGCTCAAGCAGGGAGGGGTGATCTTTTGCCCTTGAGAGGGCCAGAGTGGAAGGTAGGGCAAAAATAGGAGGGGATATCAAAGGTCTGGTGGGCCAGCTATAGCACGAGCAGTACACCTGAGTGCCCCAAGTCTTGCCCTGTTTCTACTGCTAGACAAAGCCAGCCTTGGAAAAAGCATGTACCATAGTGAAGGAATAGGGTGGAAACCAGTGAGGCTGAAGCCACCTTCACCCTTCCCTCAACATACCCTGAACCCCCATACCCAAGGAAGAGCCTCTCACCCAGCTCAGATGGGATCACCAGCTTCCGCTTTTCCCCTTCACACATCCTGCAGGGCAACACATGCTCAGCACATGGCAACACCCAGGCTCCCAGACCCCCTACCCCAGGCCCAGGCTTGCCTCCCAGCTCACCTGGACCGGGACCATGCACACCTTGGCCCACTCCCAGACTCACCCCAGCAGCCCCTGGTCCCAGCCCTTGATGACCTGGCCTGTGCCAAGAGAGAAGACAAAGGGCTGGTTCTGGGGCAGGCTGCTGTCAAACTCTGTCCCATCTTCCAGCTTTCCCTGTGGGATGATGGAGAGACTAATGAATTACTTTTGACACCCCTCATTCATCTCTCCCCACCAAGGAGGCCCCCATAGCACTGGTGGCCGTAAGTCCTTATAAGGGGACAGAGCCCTGGACAGCTCACAGTACCTTGTCATGCCTGTGATACCCACCCTGGGAAGTAGACAGTGGCGAACACTGGAAATGGGCTTAGAAGCAAAAGATTTGTCTGCGGTCACCCACCCACCTCGTTGGGGAACAAACCAGACTCCCAAATCCTTTTGGGTCCCATAAGCCCCCCGCCCACCGCAGAAGCCCCATCCCCTCACCCACCGTGTAGTGCATGTGCAAGACGTCTCCCTTGCGCGATTTGATAGGACAGTGGTCCACCCGCTTCTTGACCCCGATCTGCAGCTTCCGTTTGCCTTCGGACCCGGTGGCCGTGGCCAGGGCACTCAGGCAGATGGACAATACTGTCAGGACCCAGCTCAGCCTCATGTTTCTGTGGGCACAGACCCCGACCAACCGACCGGGAGGAGGGTGGGAGGGCATGGAACACGAGTAGTACCCTGGAAGACTGAACCCCCACCATATCTTGTCTGCCCAGGGCATCCCACTGTCCCGAATCACCGCCCTCTCCCCCGGAGTCCAAGGCCACACTTACCAGTCCAGTGAGAAGGGGGCTTGGCTGAGGACCCCAGCAGCGAGGGGAGGGGGTCAGGGGAGGCCACAGCAGCCAAGGCCCTTCCCCTCTGCTCAGCCCCAGACCTTCCCTCCCTCTTGGTCTCCACCTCTGCTCTTCAGTTCCCACCTGTCCCCTTACGCAAAGTCCAAACCCTATCTGGCTGCACAGCAGTTGCCCCAACTGGGCGGGCCCACTCACGCCACACCCAGCTGCCCCCTGCCCAGCATACCCACACTTCTGCAGCTGCCGTGGGGGGTCGACCCCGAGGCACCCATACATCCCCGCTGGGCGTTTCCGGGGAACCCCGTTCCTCTGGAGGTACCCCCCAGCCCGGACCACTGTCTCCACCTGGGGCGCCTCCCCAGCTCTGGGCCCTTGGGGGCCGTCGGGGCACCCAGACTGGGCCCGTGTCCGCTGGCCGCCGAGCCCGCTCCACCCACACCACCTCTCCCGGGGGAGTCCTCGGCCTACCGCGTCCCCAGGCACGGCCACCACGGAGACCGCCCCCACGCGGACGTCCAGGGGCATTACTCGAGTTTAGCCTTTCGTTCGTTTCCTTGGCCCCGCCCCTTACAGAGCTAAGCCCCGCCCCCTGGTCTGCAGTCCCGCCCCCAGCAGAACTAGACCTCTTTTCTTGAACCGGAGCCCCGCCACTCACCGGATGAAGCCCCGCCTCTAGTGCCTGAGTCACGTCCCCCTCCGTCTCCAAACCTGAGGTTCCACCCTCCACCAGTTTCCGCTCCTCCTCCAACTGCCCGGTCCCGCCCCCCAGCTGCCGAGCTCCTCCCACCCGCACCCGCTCGGAAGTCCCACCAGGCTCGGTCCCACGTCCCGCCCCGAGTGCCAGGGCTCCGCCCCGTGCAGCGTATGAACCCTCCCCCTGCGACATCTCCGGACAGCGCCGACCCCAGACCCCGTCTCCTCACCACCTATCCCCGGTCTGCATGCAGAGCACCGGCCCGCTCCTGCCCGGCCTGATCCAGCCTGCCCTCCTGCACCCCGGCTCCCCCCAGCCCGGGCTGTGGCCCCCGCTCACCTCCTCGCCGCGCCCCCGGAGTCAACCCCTCTCGTGCTGCCACCTCTGCGCAGGCGCGTCCTAGTTGCCACCGGCCGGGCCACGCCGCCCTCCCTCATTGGGTCTTGCGAAACCCGATGCTGCTCGGCTTCGTCCTTGGCTCCACCCCCGTATCGCTCCCGTGATCTTGCGTCACTTCCGTCGGAGCTGTGCTCCGCTGGATTTGCAGAACGTGACTTCCGAAAGTACCAAAGGCAAGTCCGCTGGAGATGACATTCTGGACAAGCGAATCCTGAGATGCCAATTTATGTCGCCCCCAGCTTCTCCCACGGTCACCGTGCCTACCCCAGGCTGCATTAGCTGCTGGGGAAATATCCGGATATGATTTATCATCTGTCACTGGTTGGCTGTGTGACCTTGACCGTGTTCCTCTGCGTCTGGTAAATGTGCTTGAAGTCACCCACCCCACAGGTCCCTCTAAGGCTGAGCCAAAGTGTAGTTCCAGGCCTTTGCTTTGACTGGGGGGGGGGCTTCCCTCCTGATCTCCAGCATCCACGCCTGGTGCTGGCATGGTCAGAATTGGGCCACTTCCCACACCAGTTATTTTCAGGCACCTGAGCGTCCACCAGTGCCCAATACTGTATGCCTCCATTAACTGATGTAACAAACTTGTTGAGAGGCAGCTAATCCCATGTGAGTGCTAGGGAGACAACTTGAGACAAGGCCCCAGACCAATTTGCCTTTCTGAGCCTATTTCTTTACTTATAAATGGAGGATAGTCACAACTTGGACCTCAGACTTCAGAACTGAGGATAAAGCCAGGAGATGCATGGGAAGCTTTGTGCACGTTTGTCTAGGGGTTGAGGTGTTAGCTGTAGGTCCATATGACCATTAAGGTAGAGAAAATGATTTAAAAGTAGTGAGCCAGGGACGTAGCCTAGGGGTACAGTGCCTGCCTGGCAAGTTGGAAGCCCTGAGTTCAATTCCTGGTACCAAAAAAATAAAGGTTTGAAAGTAGTGACCACTATCAATCATTGTCTCTTAGAGCTTAACCCGAATTCGTGCCTTGGGCCCACAGGGATCACAACCACACCCACAAACCCAACACTTCAGGGAAGGCCTCCATAGGGTGGCTGTTTTGGACCAACTGTTCCCAGTTGTGCCTTAGCAGGGCCAAGCACTGGGGGTTGCAGGGAGAAGGTAGAGGGTGAGCTTTGGTCAGACAACTCAGGAGTCTTAAGCAGCATCAGGTGAGGGAGCCTGGAGGCGGCAGAGTGGGGAAGGTTAAGACTGTGGGTTGAGGTGGGAGGAGATTGTCTCCTAAACCAAACCCACTGGCCACAGTCAGACTTGTAGTGTTCCCTTTAAAGTAGGCAGGAGTGAGACGGGAGAGGACAGGTGTGTGCTTTAGAGCCCGGCTGCACTGCAGGGAGCTAAAGTAGCAGACACTAAAAGTGCGAACCAGCAGGGAAAACAGGTGGTCTTTTCTATATGAAGACAGACTCAAACTTTTCTGCAGACCAGCGACCCTGACCACAGCAGTCATTTCTTCTCTCCATATGCCTATATGGAAACCGAGGCTCAGAAAGGGGCAGCCAGGAATGGTGGCACGCTCATGTAATGCTAGTTGCTTAGGAGGCTGAGGCAAAAAGACCACACGTTTAAGACCAGCTTGGGCAACTTAGCATGATTCTGTCTCAAAATAAAAAGGGAGAGTGCTTACCTAGTATGCATAAGGCCCTGGATTCAATCCCAGCACTGAAAAAATGAATACATAAATGAAACTTTAGAAAAAAAAAACTTTAAAGCCGGGCGTGGTAGTGCACGCCTGTAATCCCAGCACTCGGAGGCTGAGGCAGGAGGATCGCTGTGAGTTCGAGACCAGCCTGGACTACATAGTGAGTTCTAGGTCAGTCTCAACTACATAGTGAGACCCTGTCTCAAAAAACAAACAAACAAACAAAAAAACACTTTAGAAGGCTAGTGATGTAGCTCAATGGTACAATGCCCCTGGATTCAATCTCAGTTTCAGCAAAAAAAAGTTTAAAAAAAGAGCTGGGTGCATTAGTGTGCACCTGTAATCCCAACACAGGAGGATCACCCTGAGTTTGAGGCCAGCCTGGGCTAATAGTGAGTCCCTGTCTCAAAACAAACAAGCAAAAGGCAGTCAGAACCAAGGTCATTCAGCAGGTTGGGGTCCTATCCCAAGTTCATGGGCCACAATAGACAGAACCCTTGTGATGAGCAGGGTGCAAGGCTTCCCGTACCCAGCAATGCCATCAGAGAATGGGTGAATCCATGACCCAGGCTTTGCCTGGGATCTGCTGGGGGACCTTAGACCTCACTTCCTCCATCAGCACCGTTAGTGGGTAAGACAAGCTTCGGGTCTAGGAGGTGGTGATGCAAACCAGCCAGCCTGGATAGTGACGAACAGTGACACAGGCAGGGATAGCTCCTTCCATCTCTTTTATCAGAGCTGTGGGAATCACAGTTTTCATACGAAAGCCCAAATCCCGTTATTTGCAGAGGTGTGGGGTCTTCTTAGGGTGGAGAAGCAGGAGCCAGGTGTAAGATGCTCACATGCACAAGGTAGCTGCAAATGGAGACAGCACACCACCCCCTCCCCAAGCTGGGACCACATCTCCTCATCAACTCCATCAGAAGGCAGCCTCGGCAGACAAAGGACAGCAGGAGAGTCCTCTGAGAGGCCCAGGCCTAGCTTCCAACAGGATCAGGTCTTGGGTTGGGCTAATCTCAGGTTCCCCTTGTTTCTTTCATGGGATATGACTCATGAGGTAAGTGGCCCCACAGTCTGAAAAGTAATGTGTCACCTTCGCAGCTTCCGGCACCTGTGGAGGGAAGGAAGAGATATGTTCCTACTGGCTGAGCTCAGCCACAGCACCTGTTGATGAACTTCTGTAAACTTCTGGCAACCCCATTCTCTCCTGACGCTTCTGGGAAGCTCCCAGGCTAAGGTCACATCATGGCTTCACCCGGAAACACAAGGGTGTTGAGAAGCACTGCTGACAAGGTGCCCAAAGGTTCCAACACGTCCTGGTTTCTCAGAGCCCGGTGGGGTAATGTCTGTCACAGGGACGCCTAAGAAGGCCCAGTGCCCTGCAAATTTTCATTCCTCCAGGGGATGGCTGACCACTCAGAGATGATGCCAAGTGCCCCCACCACAGCCCTAAGCATGTTCCACCGACGTCACCTCTTCTGTGTCTGACCTGCCCATTCAGATGTAGGCAGTGTTTATAGTCTATGGTGTTCACACTGAGCCCAGTGCCAGCAGATGCTTGGTAAATGTTTGCTAAACACATTCAGCAGCTTCCCTTTCCTGGCCCTCCTCCCACTGGCAGGCTCACCTTGGACTCGCCCCAGGACACAGCTTCAATGCCTTCCTAGAAAGGTGCCACCGCCACCCCCCACCCACCCAGTCTGCTCACCTGCAGGTGTCTGGGTTGAGCTCTAAGCCCCGCCCTTGGCAACGGAGGAAGCTGCGGCGTCGGCAGTGGCAGTGGCAGGTCCAGGGATCAGGGCGCTGGCGGCGCTGGGGGCAGCGTGGGCAGAGGGGCCTGGGGCTGAAGTGGGATGGGTGATGTCAGCTGGGGAGGGTGCTCCAGGGACAGGGTCCCAGCCCAGTACAGAGCGGGGCTGGGGATGGTGGTGGGGAGTGGCAGCCCTAGGAGGAGAAGCAACACGTATGGGGAGGGAAGGAAGAATCTTCCCAGGAGCTGAGGGCTGGGCGGAGTGCACAGATGTGGAGAGTAGAGGAAGAGAAGGGGAAGACAGGTTGGGGGTGACACGGGGGGCACAGATTTGTGACTCCCTTGTTACCCCCTGGCCCACCCACACATTGTACCCCAGGTGCTGGGCCTGGGCTCCAACCCACCTCTGCAGGAGTCTGAGAGACTCACCTGTCTGACTTCATAGCACTCTGCCTTTTTTTTGGTCTGAAAAGTAAGAAAGACAGACAAAGACAAAGAGAGGCGAAAGATCAGGAAATCCAAGCATCCTGCTCTCTGGCCCCAGGTCCCAGGCCTACCTCTGGCTCCACTTAAGACACCGGGTCCTCACTAGGGCACGGCCACACCCAACAACCCCCATGCCTGGACTCTGCAAGCTCAGAAGCTGGGCTTGGCTGGCACCTGCATTCACATCGGCTGTGTTCTTCCAGGGACATCTCCCCCAGCTGACTGCTTGGGTACCGGATCATGAGGATCTGTGCCCGGGAGAAGAACACGGAGAGACAGTGATGGGCTGTGGGCTGGAGAGATAATGGCTCCTCCAATAACCAGGACCCAGGTGGCCAACCTCCAGCCTCCTGTGTGCTGCTCTTTCAGCTGGCCCAGCCCCCAGAGTACCACTGTCCCCCCAGCCTGTGCTTGCCCCACCTGCCCTGGTACCTGCATTCGGACTTGGTGCTGCCCAGTGGGCACACACTCCAGGCCATCGTCAGAGCAGCAGCCACCACAGCGCTGCACAGTCACACAGCTGGGCACCAGTTGTTTGGCCACAGTACCCACGAGCTCCATAGTCAAGGGCACCACCACCTCCCGAGGCTGGCAGGTGGCACGAGCATACACATCTATCCATGACACCACTGTGGGCAGACCCATAAGGGTTAAGTCCCCACTGGGTTTCCTGCAGCTGCTCCCAGAACCTGTCTTCCCCAGTCCCCATGTGACAGCCACCCTCCACTACCCCCTCTTCTGCCCTCTTCACCTGTCCTTCCCAGCCCTGTTTTTCGAGAACCCAGCAACCCCTCTGCCCTTTCTTCCTCTGTGAAATGGGCAAAAAGAATAATAGTCTGCATCTTACAGGAGAACTGTGATTATGCAAGATGACAAGCATTCAGAGCCTGGAATCGGGGCATGGGGCAAACCCACTTAGTACTGGCTGATGCCAAGTTACTGTAATTATTACCTTTCTTCTGGTGGCCAGGGACATCAAGCTGGGAGTCTGGGGCCTGTGGAGAGAAGAGACCTGGACCCCAGGTGCACTCGAGGAGGGGCTGGCCCCGTGCCTACCCTAGGGCTCTGACCTGGAACCTGGAGGCTTCACCTCCTCTCTGACATCTTTCCAGATTGCTCTGTCCCCAAGGCCTCACTACTAGCTTTACCTGTCCTTTCCTGGCCACTTGGGACCTGCTGGGGGGCTGCACGTGTGGTCAAGAGAGGGCCCAGTGGGCACGAACCAGGTCCTGTAGGCAACAAGGCAGCTCCGCCCCACGGCGGCGCCCAAGGGAAGGGGTGGGACGGAGGAGTGGCCCAGGGCTGGGCTGGCGGGCCAGCTCCGAGGGGCACCTCCGATG